TTACACAGTATTTAAATAAACTATTAGTTTTAAAGATTTATTTTAAGTGTGTGTGTGTGTGTGTGTGTGTGTGTGTGTGTGTGTGTGTGTGTGTAGGGGTTATGTGCACTTGAGTGCAATACCTGAGGAGGCCAGAAGGTGGCACTGGATCCCCAGAACTGGATCCGCAAACAGCCTTGAGTTGTGTTTGGAACTGAACTCAGGTCCTTTACAAGAGAAGTATGTGCCCTTAAGCACTGAGCCATCTCTCCAGCTCCTGCGTGGCTTTTGAAGGGTCTACAAATGTACATTTCCATGAACATTGTGTCTGAACACTCTTTTATCTGTAGGTGCACTAGTAGTGATAGCAATAAGTGTTAGATTTCTTTTTTCTTTTTTTTAAGATTTATTTATTTATTATGGATATAACATTCTGCCTCCATATATGCCTGCATGGCAGAAGAGAACACCAGATCTCAATTCAGATGGTTGTGAGCCACCATGTGGTTGCTGGGAATTGAACTCAGGACCTCTGAAAGAACAGCCAGTGCTCTTAACCCCCGAGCCATCTCTCCAGCCCCTAGATTTCTTTATTTAAAAAATTACTGCATTTTTGTTTCGTGTTCATGTGTACAATGTGCCTGGTATGTGCTTGCTGAGGCATGCCTGTGGAAGGCTCTGAGTCAGTTCTCTCCTCCCTTTGTGTGGGTCTCTGGGATTGAACTCTGATCTCAGGCTTGGTAGCAAGTACCTTCACCTGCTGAGCCATCTTGCTGGCCCTAATTGTTATTGTTTTTGTTCTATTTATTTATATTGTTGTACAATGTTGACACAGTTCTCGACCTTGCTCCATAGCTGAGAGGGAACCTGGTGCTCCTGGCTGAGTTTACGATGAGCCAGGAGTATAGGTGTAAGACTCTCTGTGCCCAGCATTCCCACCCCACCCCATGTTGTCTTAACCACACTAGTACCAGTAGTTTCTCATAATTTTTGGCTCTCTGTATGGCTCTTGTATCAGTTGCCAATATTTCTACTGAGCCATTTATTTCTTCCAACTTTTAGATACTCATGCTTACATATTCATCTACTTTTAGATGTTTGGGGGGCTTTTGTTCTCTGATTTGCAAATACTTTCTAAATCCCTTCGTTTGTTGCCTTTGTGTTATCTTTTCAAATGAAGAGTTCAAGTTTTGATGCAGTTAAATTTTTATTCCTTTTTTGTTTGTTTTTTGAAAGTGCCAGTATTTGTCAAGGCTTCTCCCTACCCTGTCTTCACAGTCCAATCCAAGAAGGTTCCTAGAACGCTAGCTATCACAACTGCATCAATGGCAGCAAGAGACAGAAAGGGTCAAGAAAAGGACTGTATCTTCCTTTAAAGGCATCCCTCCAGAACCTTCTGCATAACAGTCCTAACAGAGCCTTAGTTACTAGTTGCAATGTTGTCACGTGTCATGGCTCACAATCAGAGCCAAGGACATCCTTACCTCTTGATGACCAGGAGATAGGAAAAAGCACATACTACTGGGGTGAGCCTTGTCTCACAACCCACCTCTTAGAACAGAACCTCTCCTCTGCCAGCACAGAGCACCCACTGGGGAAGGACCTCAGCTCAGAGACCACGTGGTCAAAATCTCCAAATGGTTGCAGTTTCCAAAGGTGATGCCTCTGCCTCTGGCTGTTCTCTCTGTGACCTCCCTAGGTTGAGAGGTTTGTGGCTAGGGATAGCTAAGCCTACTGCCTTGCAGGGTTGATGGTTCTGGACTGTGGGAAATACCACTAGGCATTTCCAGGCAGATGGACACTTTAGGGAATTACTGTGATTCATGCCAATCTGGTGGGCGTGTCTATGCCAGAAGAAAAAACAACAACATTGGAAATACTTTCTAACTACACTACGTCCCTTCCTAGCCACCCACAAGAACCCAGATCAGGGCGGGGTACATCTGCCTAAGGTCTGCTTGGTGGTAAAAGGCATCCAGGGAAGGGATGGTTCAATGGAGGGCAGGGAGGGGCCACGAAGGAAAGGACCTGAGACTTGCATGGCTTCCACCAGATGCAAGGCACACTGTGTGCCTGTCTGTTTGTGCAGCATTTGGAACCTCAGGGCAGGCCTGCATTCCAGGCCCAGCTCTACCATGTCCCCCAATGGGGCCTCTTCTTTGAGTCCTCCAGCTGCACTGAGCATCTGCTCTGCCAGTAACAAAGTAACAGTGGTTTGTGATCCTGTCCCTAGTGTGGAGACTTGAGGTGTCTGATCAGGTCTCAGGCTTCAGTCTCAGGTCTGAACAAGTCTAAAGTAGTTCTGTTCTGAAAAGCAGAATGCCTGGCTACAGTGTCACACCCCCCACCCACCCCATCCCCTGCCTCGTTTTTTTTTTTTTTTTTTTTTTTTTTTTTTTTTTTCGGCTTTTTTTTTTTCCATTGTGTAAATGTACCACAATTTTATGTACCCACTCTTTGGTTGAGGGGCATCTAGGTTACTTCCAGGTTCTGGCTATTACAAATAATGAGTTTGAGACAACCTGATCTACAGAGTGAATTCTGGGCTAGCCTGGGGTTCCTTGGGAGACCTTTCCTCAAAAGTAAAATAAAACAAAATAATAATAGACATTCATTGTCAAAATTCCCAGGAAACACAGGCAACAGAGAAAAGGCAGAAAAAACACACAAATTCAGAGAAAAGAGCTGTTTGGACACACCCTCTTACAGACTTCCCTGTACCCCTGGGTTTACTTCTCCCAGGAGCACAGCTGGACTCAACAGCCCACCATGAGCTGATCCGAAGCGCTCATGTGTCCAGTCAGAGCTTCATTCAGTCTTGAATTCAAAATCATCACTGACGTTTTCTTTCCTTCTGTTCCTAATACAGCCCAGCTTGTTACTAAGCCCGTGTTGATAAGAAATTTTTATTTGTTTTTGTTTATTTGTTTTGTTTTTTAAGACAGGGTTTCTTTGTGTAGCTCTGGATGTCCTGGAACTCACTCTGTAGACCAGCTGGCCTCAAATTCAGGGATCCACCTGTCTCTGCTGGGACTAAAGGTGTGTGCCACCTCTGCCTGGCTAAAATTTTGATATTTTGTTTACCATCAGCAAATTTGTTTGTTTGAGATAGGATCTTACCCTGCGCCACTCCACCTGGATTTCCCTGGGTGGATTTTTATTTTTAAACATGAGACGATAAAATGTTTGTCAAGACTAGGGATGTAATTCAGTTGGTAGAATGCTTGTCTAATGTATAAGATGCCCTGAGTTTAATCCCCAGCACTGCATATGATGGGTGTGGTGGCTCATGCCTGTAATCGCAGCCCTCAGGAGACTAAGGCTGGAGACTCTTAAGTTTAAGGTCAGCCTGGGCTACATGAGACCCTTTCTCAAAATGAAATGAACAAATAAACTACTTTGAATATGAAGGTTTTTGTTTGTTTGTTTTTGATAGCTCTGCTTCTCTGTGCACTTGGTCCTGTCTCCGTGGATGGAGGCTTGAAGGAATTGTTATGCTTCATACTAATCTGAGAGGCATGTCTGTGCCAGAGAGAAAAACACAATGTTAGAAATACTTTCTAGTTTGGTGGTGTGGTGCACACCTTTAGTCTCAGAACTTGGGAGACAGAGGCAGCCTGGTCTACATAGTGAGTTCTAGGACAGCCAGGGTGCCACAGAGAAACACTGTCTCGAGAAAACAGAAACAAAAAAGAAATACTTTCTATCCAGACTTCCTCCATCTCTAATCACTCAGAAGCCCACCTGTCCTTCAAAAAGGGCCCAGACAAGGGGCACTCCTACCTGCCTAGTAAAGGCCTGGGGGAAGGGGTGATCCAATGGAGGGCAGGGGTCACGAAGGAAAGACACTAAGAAGGTCTGGCTTCCACCAGATCTACATTCTAGAGGTTGCACCACTCACTGTTGGGATGACCAGCTTGTTTTCAATCTGCGCATTTTGGCTGTGTGCTCCCAGCATCCAGCATTCTACTTGACGCCTCATGGGCACTCCAGAGTGTTCATGGAGTCAGCCAATGGAAGAACTGGTCAAGGAAGGTCTCGGACACTCCATGAATCCTCATGTAGGCGGATCTTTGCACAGAGCACATGAGGAGTGACCAGGGATCAGGAGAGAAGGAAGAGAAGCAGAAACCAGAGTGGACAATCCAGAAAAGGCCATAGCCTGGGTCCTACAGCTTCTATAGCAGGCCAGGGGTGTCTGCTCAATTTAAGCATCCTCTAGAAGACCTTTTGTGTGTTTCCTCCGTTCCCCCAAATGGAGCCATCACTACTGCTCTAGTCTGGATGGGGCCCAGACAGTTGGCACTAAAACCCTGCCACGTCCCCTCTGTGGGACTGGCACACACTCATGCAAAGGTACACACACCCAGCCTGAGGTCCTTCCCAAGAGGATGACTCAGGAGCTCACTTGGAGACTGGGGTCTGTTAGCCAGGCCACTTCTCTTCCTGGGCATCAATCCTGAGCTCCCAAGGTGGAGGGCCTGCCTCCTCACAGCCACAACAGTAAGGGATTTTCCCATCCCCAACCCACTGACATGTGGAATTTTAAAATAACAACGCCAGACTCCAAGAGAGGAAATTCTAAGAACATGAAATAAGTCAGCAGAGCAGAGGTGGGTGTTTATTTTCCATGACCACCTACTCCTCTGTGCAGCGCCCCCCGAGGCTGGGGGAGGGGTCAGATGAGAGCATCACAAAACCAGAGGAAACCCATCTTCCTGTGTTTGCAGAGGAACAATGCTGGAGGCGCCTTTCCAAGGCCTTCAACTTTTCCTCTGGACATAGGATTTTAGGTCTCCAGGCATTCCTGGGAGGAGGTCCCACAAGGAATGTCGGATGTAAACATTGCCTTTAGATCACTCGGTTACATCTGTGACACGCAAAAGCCCCAATCCCCTGGGGACCCTGTAGTTCAGGTCCTTCCCACCAGGTAGAGATGGAAGAGTGCGTTTGGAGTTGTGGCCCCACCTTGAAGCCAGTTCTCTGAGATCACTGATCTCATTGGCTTCCTCTGTCCTTACCTTCCAGCACTGCCTCCTGCCCCTTCTTCCTGCCCACTCCTTTCCTGGAATACTGCCCTCCTCCAGCCCCAATGCACATTGCCTCATGCATCCTGTCCCCATGAACCATCCTCCACACTGTACCTCCAAGCCAGACCCTTTTCCTTTCTAGAACTTGCCATCAGCCACACCAGGTGCCCAATGGGTCTTCTAGGACATTTGTGATAACCAGGCCACACCAGAACCAGTCTCCTTTCCTGCACATTCTGCACATTCCTTCCCAAACCAGGAAGGTACAAAGAAGGCACTCCCCTGATCTCCCTCCCCCCCCCTCCCCGGAGAGATCAGACCCACCCCAGCCTGGCTTTTCCGGGGCATTTGGGCAGGCTTTTTTTTTTTTTTTTTTTTTTTTTTTTAAGTTTTTAATTTACACCTTTTTACTTCCTGTTTTTCCTCTGGAAGAGCAGTCAGTGCTCTTAACCTCTGAGCCATCTCTCCAGCCCCTGGGCAGGCTCTTTTGATGGCCACTCAGACCACATGCTTCCCCCCAACAAGCAAGATTGCCTTGGTCTAAAACACTAACTCACTGTTCTTTCAGGTGGCTATCGAGGGTCTCCTAGGAGACCCTTCCTGGATCTTGGCCCCCAGTCTGGGCTAGTCCTGTGTGAACACACACACACACACACACACACACACACACAGAGAGAGAG